AACGTGCCGATGTAGAGCTTTCTTCTCTCCTCCGCAGATCTCCCCTCATTGCAAAAGAAAAGAGGAACAAGAAGAAACAAAGCAAGAGGTCGATGCACTGACTAAGGGCCTGAATCTTTGGAAGAGAAAGGTGCAAGATGATGGTAGTTCACAGGGACAACGTGAAGTGTTTTTAAAACACAGTGCATGATCAAGGACCGTGCATTCAAGATGATAATTGATGGTGACAGTTTTACTAATGATGTTACTAAAGATCTTGTGCAAGCATTCGGTATGTCCATGTAGTGGCACCCGCCACCACACCATGTAGAGTGGCTATATAACTCCGGAAAATTAAAGGTTATACATAAGTTACATGTCATGTTTGCCGTTGAAAATTATATTGATAAAGTGGATTGTGATGTCATCCCAATGAACGCATTTCAGTTATTATTAGGAATATGAACGTGATGTTGCACACACACGCGTGCGCGCATGCACGCACAGAGTTTCGCTTCACGGGAGAGAGGATGTTGAATAATGCTGACACTCAAGCTGTCAAAGAAGTAAACACCAATTCAATCTCCAAGTCGGATTATTTTGTTGTAAAACATATTGTGGGCACGATACAGAAGAAAACACGCATCCATGGCATTGTTGCCTAAAAGACTAGAGTTCATCAACAATGCCATGAAAAGATGTACATGGTATGTAGATTTTGCGGCCGTAGCAGATTGAGCATGCAACATGGGACCTGATCGGATGCACACGAGTGCGCCGTTACCTTGATGGAGGCATTGTCTGTAACTTCTGTCGACCCACTCGTGCTGCTCCGGGGGAAACCCTAGGATCTGGTCTTCGAGACCGGACGATGGCAGTACTGCGGTGTCGTTTCTCTCTTGGGAGCATCGTTGGTGGAGCAGCGCTGGAAAATAGAGGCAAGAGGTGGAGCGGCTTCGTCTTGCACGGAGCTTCGGTGGAGATGTCAAGTCATGCCTAGCCGGCAGGTGCTACGTTGTGTCATGTCTGGTCGGCAGGTGCTACGCACGACGGATCCACCAGAATCTTCGCGTCTGGATGGACGAGCGCAGGGCGGTGGCGCCGTTGGGCTCCGTGGTGGCGTCGACGGATGGACGGACTGGCAAGGATGATGCGGATCTCTCTCCTGAAGATGGGCCAGTGGTCCGATGATGATGACGGCTTCTCAAACGTGTGCATGTGGTATACGCTTTAGGTCTGCTGCACCGGCTATCCATTCTGATACGTTAGGTGGTGGATCGGCGACACCGATTTTAGATATGGGGAGTGAGAACACTCCACATTATCGAGTTCTGTAGGTGCGAGTGGTGGCTTTAGGTGGCTTGATGTATGTTCTTGTTAGATCTATGTTGAATAATAAATAAAGATGGTTGTATGCATCGATTGATGCAAAGGCCGGGGGTTTTAACCTTCTTTTTCCAAAAAAAAATTTACATGTTTGTTACTAAGCTCCAGAATCTCACTTGCCTCAAAATTCAAAGCTGCAACACTCCATAGTATAACAGTGATTTGGTGACCCCTGTGTCGAATAAATAGACGAAGTCCAAATATAAAATAAATCACAGCAGGCCGGCTGTAACCAAGAAGGAGAAAAGGCCTCAGGATTATACGTTGGATCTTTATGTAGATAACCCTCCTAGTAGAGTCTCCAGGCCTACTTGAACTAACATATTGAGCAGCATGTATGCTTAATGGGTCCGTTGTCAGTTCCACTGTGGTGGTACACTGGTACCACAGACAAAGGGCTTAAACTCCATCTGTGGAAACAAAAAAGACCAGCTTAATGGAAAACAGTCTAGAAGACACAATATCTATTGATGGAAATTGATAGACAATGCACAATGCATAATGGACAATGTACATATATGCGCTGAAGAATAGAATAAGATTCAATAGGCAATGGGAAAAGGAAGACGGAAATCATACATTCGAGTATATATCGTTAAAGATAATATGAGCAAAGGCGCAGGCTACTACTAATTATTATAAGGACATGTCAATAAACTTCAAAAGGTACAAGCTGAGGCATAAACCTCAGGGTAGACGATGTTCCGAGTCTCTGATGTACAATTTCCATATTTATATTCGATAAGTAAGTTTAGGGATTTTCTCAACATGACCTGCAACACATACAACATACAACTGTCCATGGGCAAACACAAGGAAGAGAACATAATAGAATGCAATATACCTGCCAAGCTGGACAACCCTAACCATTGTTCCAGGTGGCTCGAAACATGGCCAATAACCTAAAACCACAAAGCAGCCACAAGAACTAAATTAGCCATGTAAGACACTAAATAAACAAAATGAGGAATAGATTAAGTGAACCAGACCAAGTACAATAGCAGTAATAATCGAACAATTCATAATGGCAGTAGTAATCGAACAATTCATACATCATACATAGAAGCCACATCTCACAAAGGAATGGACCTTCCTGACAACACAACCATCCAAGTTGTATGATAACTACCATATTCTATAAACCTACCTGCCACGCCATTGGTTTTCTTGGTAACACCAACAATAAGACATGGGGTAAACAGGAAAAGAAAATGAACCGGCAAGCTCCTATGACAGCCATAGTAAAATAGAAGCAACACACACAGGAAGGGAACGAAACACAAAAAATCCATGAGAAAGGGAACAAAAGTCATAGGCTCTACCAGGAAGAAGACAAGAAACACGAAGCATACACCTATAGACCTACAATACTCCACTAAAAACAACACACACTACCACCAGAAAATCTGCACACCAACACAAACTCTGTTTTAATAACCTCTTTACATATATTAGTACGTTATAATAATGTAATAAGCCACAAATATTCTTAAAATGACATGAAGTTTTTAAAGTGTAAGTAATGGTCCAACTCTCTTGGTTATGTAACCAAAGCTTACCCGATCCACTTGAAACCAGAAACTGCTCTATTTTTCTATTTTTTTCTAAGCCAAGAAGGTGCACAATCAGAACCATGATCATGTAGTGTTTTCTCAAACCAATAATAACAAAGATTAAATCAGCGGCTAGCAGGTGATCCACTAACATAGGATATGCACATGAAAGAGATTTGCTATAGCATAAATCATGAGACTGAGAGCACCAACATAGATCTGTAGATACCCTTCCTAGTCCTCTTCCTAATTTTTTCATCTGCTAAATCAACACAGAAGAGCAATAGGAGCTTACCCATCTTCTTCTTCTTCCCAACAGCTCTGGAGGACTGCATCTCTGCCCCTTAGGATCCACCCCTGCAAACGAACAAATTGACATATCAAATCACAAGCGGGCGAACTGGTAAATCCGCGCGAGAGGGAGAGGGGCGGGGATGGGGAAAGTGGAGAGGGCGCTCACCGCTGACTTTGTATGGCGGATTGGAAGCCGCTGACCTTGGGTCGTCTTCTTCCCGGAGATGCATTAACTCGAGGATGACGGTCCGCCACTCCTTCAGCCGATGGTGACGCCTCCAAGCAGAGCCGCTGCTCCTCCCGATGATGAACACGTGATAGAGGAGGAGTAGGGGGGCTCCTACCAGTGGGTGGTGGTGGAGGCGGCCAGAGTTGACCGAGGTAGTGATCTCTGTCGTGAGGGTCGTCTGCGAGCCGAGCTCCGCCACGCTCCTCTTGCTGAGGACCAATGGGGAGGGGAGGAGGAGAGGATGGGACTGACGTGAGAGCTAGGGGAGGTGGCGGCACGGGGTTAGGGTTTCAGAAAAGATCGAGAGAGGGAGAGGAGGAGGTGGGACGTAGAATGGCAGCTGGAGATCGAGAGAGGGAGAGGAGGAGGTGGGATGTGTGACTGCGGGAGGAGCTGCGGCTAGGTCACACAGAGCAGCCACTCACAGAAAGCCACTCAAGGGCAATAAGGTGAAATGTCAAGATTGCCCTCGATGGCCCTGCAATTTTACAGGCAGTGGCACGCCACGCCACCCGCCTGGATACGGCCATGCACCACAGGGCGACCCGCCACGGTCGTTGATGGGCGTGGCCCACACTGCCTGGGGCCCGTGTGTCAATGTGACACGTGAAGACAGAGGTGAGTGTAAAAGGGCAGGATACTATTCATTGTAGCAGTGTCGGATACGATCGGACGGCCAAGATAGTCCCATCTGAAGATCCGACGATCCGGAGTCGTTTGAAAGTTGAATCTGACGGCCCATATCACACGGCCTGAGATGCCTTCATTTATCTCTAGACTCTAACAATGGGATATATGCTACCAACTACTGCTCGATGTAACATGCACTAATTGAATGAACGTACAGTGCTATAACAGCCACGTAGAGCGCGCCGACGGATCGGATATCGGTGTGGTTGTGGCGGGCCGGTGATCCAAACTAGATTTAGCCAGTGACTTCTTCTCCTCGTCGTCTCGGCGTCGGCAAGGCCGAGCCAGCAGGACGAGCCGGTAACGATGGAGAGGTTCCGCCGGTGGATGGAGCAGCACGGCAAGTCGTACCCGACCGTCGACGAGGAGCTGCGGCGCTTCGAGGTGTACCGGCGGAACGTGGAGCGCATCGAGGCCACGAACCAACAGGTCGGGCACGGGTACACGCTCGGCGAGAACCAGTTCACCGACCTCACCAGCGAGGAGTTCCTCGCGAGGTACACCGGCCGGTTCGCTCCGCCGGAGATGAGCCACGATGGCGACATGCTGATCACGACCCGTGCCGGGGATGTCGCCAAGGGACAGTACCCCGCGCACCGCGGCAACTTGTCCGCGGTGCCTGAGAGCGTGGACTGGAGGGCCAAGGGCGCGGTCACGCCCGTCAGACACCAAGGAGGTTGCTGTAAGTTCAATATACATGAGCTGATTTTCTTTGCAGGTTAATTAAGCCACTTTTTTTAAAGCAGAATATAAATCCACTACGCTTAGAGTGGCAACCTGTCAAAAGGGAGTTCTTAACTTCTTATGCAGGTGCAACCCTCAGCCAGAAGTTGTCAAAGCAAAATGTACACTGCACTTCTAGGAAGAAGTTGACAAAACCAAATTTAATACTCCTACTTTTTAGTAGCAACTACTACCTCCATTACAAATTAACCGAATCTCTAGCTTTTTTAAGTCAAACTTTCTTAAGTTTGTCTATAAACGTATAGAATAGTATCAATATCTAGAATACCAAATTAGTTTCATTAGATTCGCCGTAAATTTAATATTGTAGGTATTAGCTTGTTTTTTAGTATATAATAATCGGTCAAATTCAAAATAGCTTGACATCTATATCTATATCTATATCTATACCTACTAATAAAAGAAATAGATATTCTTAGCCCGTCATGCTATTTTATAAAAAAAGCCCCTAAGGTTTCTGACATTAAACCCGCAGTACATATCAAATATTTTTTTAAATACTCATATCTTTTAAACCGTAACTCCAAATTTAGCATGTTATATATGAAATTTAATTAAAAAATATATAGAATCTGAATATGGTGTTATTTTACCTGTTAACCATTTTAAAATTACTATCTAGGATGCAATCTTAATGAACAATGCATTATCCGTCTTTTTCTTTCATATCGGTGCTGATCCGGATTGTGGATGAACATCTTAGCAAAATCAGGATTCGAGACCAAATTGAAGATCACTTGCCCATTTTCCTGGGTATTAAATCTACATGCAAGCCGTGTTTAAATAGAAGACATGTGGAATCTTGAACTTGCGCTTTTGTAGGCAAAGATCATCTTTGTTTGGGTCGTAGGTACAAATACTCAGATTATAGACCATTTTCTTGTAAATTAAGAGCGTGTGGTATTCTATTCTCCCGTTGCAACGCACGGGCCCTTTTGCTAGTAGAAAAATCACAGAACTTCAACTAATTTGAAACAGAGGAAGTGACACATGGTTTTATTGTTGTGATTAGCTAAAAAGAACCTAATGCTTACCAATCACCATTTTTTCGACAAAGACCATTAGCAGGTAGTCAAATCATGTAGTTCTTCGTCCTGCAAGTATACAGGGTAATTTCAACAGCTGACTTGATTTCTTCTGTTGTCTGTTCGGTCGTATTGTGCTGGCCGGCAGACGCTTCCGGGGCTTTCGCCGCGGTGGCGGCAGTGGAAGGCCTATACCAAATAAAAACCGGGAAGCTGGTGCCCCTGTCCGTCCAGGAGCTGGTGGACTGCGATTCAAAGTCGTTCCATTGCAGCCCCAGCGGCACACCCGCCGCAGCCTTCACATATATCAAGATGAACGGCGGCATCGCGGCGGCCGCAGACTACCCGTACACCGCGCAGGAGGGCATCTGCAACAGCCAGGCCGAGCAGGTCGCCGTCTCCGTACGCGGCTACCGCGTGCTGCCATACAACGAGCAGAGCGAGCAGAAGCTCCTCGAGGCGGTGGCGCAGCAGCCCGTCGCCGTCGCCGTCAACCACCTCAGCTTTGAGTTCCAGAGCTACAAGGACGGGGTGTTCTCTGGCCCGTGCGCATTCGAGGTCGACCGCTTCAACCACCAGAGCGTCACCATCGTTAGGTACGGGGAGGACGCCGCCACCGGGAAGAAGTACTGGATCATAAAGAACTCGTGGGGCCAGTCATGGGGGATGGGCGGCTACATGTTGATGGAGAGGGGCATCGCGGATCCGCGAGGCCTCTGCGGCATCAACTCTTACCCGGCTTATCCTACCATGTGATCGATGGGATCATGGAAGTAATCAGGAGTTAGTTGTGTGTTGTATGTGGCTCTACGTCGTTTACTGCATGCCACGTCGTCCACCCAGTAAGCATGAACTCCCGGTGCATGTACGTGTTTCATCAGTATGTGTTGCGTATGTGTTTCGCAATAACTTGTCAGAGTCTTTGTCGTAGTGCCCATCCTCTCATGTGTTCGATAACTCAGGGTCACTCTTTTGAAAAAGGCAGATGATCTTTCTTCTATCTAAACCGGATCTTAAAGGGCATCAACCACCTTTTCTGGCGCCATTGTCGATGAGGCATAATGTTACTAGTCACTGTGTTAAGAGTTTTTTGTTAGACTTTTAATTTCCCATAAAATTCCTATGGCTTGAAACCTTGGAGACTTTTCTTCTCCGAGTGAGAACTTTATGTGTGCATCAATTGCGTAACCTAATATTGCCCCCAAGTAATATAAAATTGAGTACCACTTAGTAACAATGGTTCAACAAGACCAATTTGAAGACTCTGCTTCAGAAGATTCCCATATGCACTTACACAGTTTTTCTAAGTTGAGTGATATGACACACATTAGAGATTGTGAATCAGACGCTTTGAAGTTGCGTTTTTTTTTTGTTTCTCCTTGAGTGGAAAAGTAAAAGAATGACTTCTAACTTTACCAAGAGGTACTATAATTTCATGGACTGCTTGTTGTAGCAAACTTTTATTTAAGTTTTGTCCAGTGCAAAAATTATGCAATTACACTATCAGATAACATGTTTTAAGTAAGAGGATCGTGAGCCATTAATGCTTGCGTGGGGTCGCATGAAGAAGGCTACAAGAAACTGCCCCAATCACGGGATGGAAGAAATGTTAATTCTTCATATGTTTTATAATACTCTTACTCCCATGCTGAAAACTATGCTTGAGACAACTGCATGAGGAACTATTCGAAGAAGAAAAAATCTGTAGACAAATTTGAACTTATTGGGTCCAGCCGTATGTAATTTGTGGTTTAACCAATAATAAATCTAATTTTATTCAACGTATTACTATGTGCATGCTTCAAACGTCGTTGAAATGTTTATTCGATCTGCTAGGTGCTAAACCCATTGAATTCTATGTCCCTACTGTGCAAAGATGAGTGTGATAATAGTTTAGCTATTCAGGTAACAATTCCACAAACTAAAAATTGCCAGTGAATTGCATATGGCGTGCCAAGCCACACATTAGGGACTAGTAGGAGTATATAACAATGGCGCACCAGTGACGTACATCTTGCTTGTTTTCAAACGGAGGCAAAAAAATTGCCTCGTCAATTAATTAAGAAGAAAAGAATTATTCAGTTAATTTACGAAAAACTGAACAAAAACCGATACATATAAACCTCATGCGGACTACTCGCTAGAAAAAAACTCCATGACTCCACGGTCAATCCGAAAAACATACAACACGCAACAACCACGACTTCTACGTCTAAAAAACCCTCCAACGAAATCATGGTTGAAGGCAACGGACTCCACCAAATCCAGAGTCAATCAGAGATGGTGATATTTGTTTGGGTCAACCTAGGCTAGCTAGCAAGCCTTCGGTCCTCCGACGGAGGTTAACTCTACACTACTAGGAAAAGGGCTATAGATGGAAATGACACTAATGGCGCACCAGACATGTGGTGCGCCATTAGTATATACTAATGGCGCACCACCTTCTGATGCGCCATTAGTGTTGAAACTACTAATGGCGCACCCTGCCTACGGTGCGCCATTAGTACCAAATTATTTTTTTTTTTGAACTAGTGCGTCTGTCCAAACATACTAATGGCGCACCGTGGCATGGTGCGCCATTACTAGT